TCAGAATTTTTCAACTTTTCTCCCAAGCGTTTCGAGCTTTTGGTCAAGACTATTAAAGAAATTTGTCCTGCATCAAGTCATACGCGTCTGATCAATGTCTGCAAAACTAGATGGGTGGCAAGAATTGATGGATTGTCTGTTTTTATTGAAATTTTCCTCGCTGTTGTTAAATGCTTTGAAACAATTCGCGACAATGTAGACAAATCATGGAATGTAGAATCCACCAGAAAAGCATGTTATTTATTTATTTTAGTTACCTCTTTTCCGTTTATCGTAACCCTGGTTGTGGTCTCGAAATGTCTGGAGGTGACCCGTCCACTCACCGTGCAACTGCAAGAATCAGCTATAGATGCAGGAATGGCAAGAGAAAAGGTATCTGGTTTATATGTACACCTCGAGAAAGTGAGGAATGAAGTGGATAGAAGGCATGACTCGTTGTACCAAGAAGCAGTCTCTCTTGCAGATTCAGTTGGAACCGAGCCACACAGACCAAGAATAGCAGGAAGGCAGCATCACCGCGCAAACACACCAGCTGACTCACCACCAGAGTACTACAAGCGTGTGGTTACCATTCCCTTTTTGGATCATCTTAAGTCCCAAATCCAAACTAGATTCTCCGAGACTAACCTGGATGTTATGAACGCTGTTTATGGTTTACCCAGGAATGTTTTGACCTGCCCTGACTGGAAAACAAAATTTTCGAAATTCCTTGACATGTACAAAGATGACCTACCGCAACCTCGCTTTCTCAGTACGGAATTGGAAATGTGGAGTGAACAATGTCAGATGGAAAAGGGCCCGTTGCCATCGAAATTAACTGATGTTTTGCCTTTTGTAGACAAAATCAGCTTCCCTAATATATATACTGCATTACAAATATTTGCTACAATCCAGTTACTACATGTACTTGCGAAAGATCTATCTCTGTTTTACGCCGACTTAAGACATACCTTCGCAGCACCATGTCAGAATCTAGGTTGAAGAGTCTAGCATTACTGAATGTACATCGCGAAATTCACTTGGATACTGAGGAAATTATTGACGAATTTGCAATCAAACAACCACGACGAATGATGCTAAAACTATTTTGATGTACAATCTCTACATTGCAATTAATCTAGGACACTTGTGATTTACAGGTGAAAATGTTTCAAATGCCGTCGTGCTGTACGTCTACTTCAACGTGATTAAAAAGTCAGTATTTCTCGAACTTGTTTTGTACTATACTATTTCAAGACGACTTACAGTGAACATTTACTTAACTTCCTTCGTTCTGCTGTTTCAAGATGATTTACAGTGAACATTTACTTAACTTCCTTTTTGCTGCTGTTTCAAGATGATTTACAGTGAACATTTACTTAACTTCCTTCGTGCTGCTGTTTCAAGATGGTTTACAGTGAACATTTATTTAACTTCCTTCGTGCTGCTGTTTCAAGATGATTTACAGTGAACATTTACTTAACTTCTTTCGTGCTGCTGTTTCAAGATGATTTACAGTGAACATTTACTTAACTTCCTTCGTGCTGCTGTTTCAAGATGACTTACAGTGAACATTTACTTAACTTCCTTTTTGCTGCTGTTTCAAGATGATTTACATTGAACATTTACTTAACTTCCTTCGTGCTGCTGTTTCAAGATTATCTACGCTGAACATTTACTTAACTTCCTTCATGCTGCTGTTTCAAGATGATTTACAGTGAACATTTACTTAACTTCCTTCGTGCTGCTGTTTCAAGATGATTTACAGTGAACATTTACTTAACTTCCTTCGTGCTGCTGTTTCAAGATGATTTACAGTGAACATTTACTTAACTTCCTTTTTGCTGCTGTTTCAAGATGATTTACAGACAAGTGAACATTTATTTAACTTCCTTCGTGCTGCTGTTTCAAAATGACTTACAATGGACATTTCGTATCTGCCGCAAGCTGCCGTTATGCTGCTGTTTTAAGATAAGTTATAAGGGTGAACAATTACATTTTCGTACCTTCCTTCGTGTTGCTGTTTCAAGATGATTTACGGTACCAGTGAACATTTATTTAACTACCTTTGTCCAGCTGTTTCAAGACGATTTGCAGTGAACAATGTTCCTTACTGACGCTGTGCTATTTTCCCTAATTACGTCCTTTGTTGCAAGATGCTCCCTAACTCCGCCATTGCCGGTCCCAAGCCCGGATGAAAAAGGAGGAGGGTTGGTCACTGGGTTGGAAACCCTACCTCGTAAAAGACCTATGGAGTAACTGAAACAAGGAAATGTGAACGATGTACTCAGTCCCGAATGGAGATTTTTCTACATCAAGACGCTTTATGATTACTGGTGTAGAAACTTGAACACTGATACCAATCGCCTGAAATACAGCCGAATCTGTCATACAGTATGGAACTGCGTGTGAAATTTGCATCAGACATAGTCTAGAGTCTGGAGTTGTGATCATATGTGAGTAAGTGTAAGGTGATTGTCCTCTGATTTTGTATTATTCACTGGAGAACAAGGTATGTTAGAACATTTATCAGTTATTGTGTGTATTTTTGTTACATTTTGTCTAAAATATGGCCTGGTTAAGGCCAAATTTTTGGACAGAATCTGCTGCTCAGAACGCAGGAAACAGCATTTCCGGGGTTCAAATTTCAAAAATTTTCCGGGGGGGGCATGCCCCCAGACCGCCCTAGGTGAGGGCGTGGCTCGGTCACGCCAATTATGTTACGGTCAGATTGAGATGCTGGATCTGCCCCTGCTTCTGTACTCAAAGCACTGAAAAGTATCATAAACAGAAAAACACTTTAAACACATGTCAGGTAAGACTTTTAGCTCAATATTTTCATGCTTCTATTGGGAAAGCAACGGTCTATTGTGTAGAAATGTTATCTATATGCTCACATGAAAAATATAACCTAATATTCAGGTATTCCACATAGCTATAAAAGGGTGAAATAAGAACTTTCATCTTTGGTTGTTTGTCAGACGTGAGAAACCACATTAGTGCTACTTTGTCGTGCGTGCTATTTTATAAAATAAACACCTCAAAACCATAAACTTTTAGGCAAGTAAACGCGTTTATTCAATACACTTATTTTAAACCACAATACGTCTGAAACGAGTTGTCATTTTGACACTAAATTGATGAAAATAGATATAACAGTGATTTTGGAATATCCTACTTAGTGTAATTTAATACTCGAAGTATTCTTGCCAAAATGGTAAAAAAGATCACGTACGCACACAGTAAGTGTTGTTTGAAATATACTTTAGCTAAAATAACAACTTTAACAAGAAGACCAACAATGGGGTCGTGAAAACAGTCAAAGTTGCGCCCAAATTTGCATTAAACAGTTAGTCTAAAAAGATAACTTTAAACTAGATTCAA